GGGAAGGAGCTTTCCACCCTAGCTCTGCCCCCATCTTCTGCTTAGCCTGCCTTAGCCAGAGGTGTGCCAGAGGTGCACCAGAGGTGCGCGCCGCCTGTGGGAACTGCCCTTGTGCAGTGCCGACATTTGCAGAACGGCCGTGCAAATCCTTCTGACATGCACACGTCCTGCTTGGCGGAGCATAGGAGAGTGCTCCCTGGACCAGCTCACCGAGGCTTGCCTTTCCGCCAAGCCCCGCTCTGAAACGGATTGCGTTAGTTCTGCCTGTTTAACTGGAAGCCTGTCCAGAACGTCATGATCGTCCCGGAAGCAGATAGGCTTGTTTTTAACTCCATCGTTTGGACCTCAAGAGCTTCATTCAAGGGGGTTGCATTCACAGGCTCTTAAGTCCTCTAGCGGAGCCTGGTTGAAAAGAGGTCCGTCCCTGTCGGAGAGCAGAGTCCGCGATGCCACAACCCAGGTTCAAACCCGAGCTCTGCCACTTGCTTCGTTGTATGATGCCTTCCCCCGTCAACAGAATCATTTCATATTGAAACATATTCTCGGGGAGTTGTGCTAAGATGGTGGTTATAATTCCTATCTCATAATTCAGACCTTACCAAGGGTGTCCAGCATATATGACTCCTTTAGTAATCACTCACTATTACTACTATAAAAAATTAGCCACAGCCTAGATAGGCCTTTGAGTATTATTTTTTTGAAGACTGGCTACTTTCCCTCCCCATACACACTCCCTTCCCGCATGCTTCTTCTGTAATGAGAGGTGTTGCTGATGTTGAGTGTGTGGCTGAGGCTCTGGAATGTCCAGTCCTGTTGAGATCGCAGCCACTGGTCCACACAAGATGTCTAAGGGAGCTGTTCTTTGGAATCCGGGAGCGGGGGAAACAGTGTTGCTAAATTTTTCCCAGGTCTGTGCTCAGTACTGAAGTGCAGGGGATTCTGATGAGCTAGAATCTGTCATTTTTCAGTCACTTGGACCACTCAGGCCCCTCAGCTATTTTTTTTCACAGGCATATGACCCAGAAAGCAGCAGAAACATAGGAGGAAAAACGGCTTCCAGTGCCTCTTACTCAGCTGCCTTGGCAAAGGAAAGTGTGCCCTGGCTCGGCTTCTCACTGCAACCCCACGTCGTTTAGATGATTGCTGGATGCCTTTCTGCAAACTTCCATAAGGGAGACAAGAAATTCTGGCCTTCCGCATGGTAGCCATGCATACCTTTGGATGCGTAGCTGTTCAGCCTGCAGAGGGTGCATCAGGCAGGGCCATGATAGGCCCCGCTCCCTTGGCTCCTCCGTTCCCACTGCCCTTCTGATGCCAATAAAGGGAAGCAGTGTTCTGTAAGCAGAGGGTATCGGGTTTTCTCCTCTGACCTCCAGAGATTTTCATCCTCCTTTCCTCAAGAATGGCAGGGCAGCCAGACAGAGATAAAGAGAAGGAAGGAGCCGAGCTAAGCTGCAACCTCCACCTCCTCGGTAGCCTCGCTCAGGTTGTGCACAAGACAGCAGTGAAATTTTAAAGCATTTAGCTGCTCCCTGTATCCACTAGGGGCAGACTTTAAGAACTGAAAGGACATGCTTGCCTTGCACAAGATGCTTCACGGGGTTAAGACCAAAGTGTCTTTGTCCCTGGAGGAGGGGGAGGAGAAAAAAAAAAAAAACCTGTGGCTTTCAGAATCTGTAGAGGACCTCAAGGCAGGTACCATGTCCCCCAGAAAGCTAGAAGGTGATGGATACAGGGCAATGAAGTCCAGCTGCAAAAGAAGGAAGTACCTTAGTGTGGATCTAGACATTTCTCCCACTCGATGCTTGAACCTAGCAAGTCACTTTGATGAAGGTATGTGGTTTCCTTCTCTGTAAAATAGGGATTAAAATTCCATCTCGAGTCGTTTTCCATCAATATAGTGAGAGTGTGTGGAGAGCGCCCAGCACAGAGTCCACACCCTGTTCCGTTCCCATCAGTTGATTCTCACAGACCGGATAGAAGTCGCAAATACACTTAACCACAGTGTGTAAATGTCCAGCTACTTCATCCTTTCTGCCTCACCTGCACTCTGCTCTCACCTGGCCCATACTTTTTTTTTTTTATTTTTCATACTTTCCGGGGTTACAGGTGTCGAGTCCTCTGGTCAGGTCTGTTGTCTGTGACGAGTGATCTAGGGAGCCGGAAGTATGTCAAGCCAGCGTTTGTAAAGGCATCAGATGGCCATGTGTTTTGTAAGCCAGGGTTTTCACAGAAAACCCTTCAGTGTATTACCTTGAAGAACTTTTCAGAGAAAGCAAAAAAACAGAACTTTTCCAAACCTGACCCCACCGTCCGTGGGGGATTTTAACCGAATGGGGCCCACCCCCAACAGTTACAGTGGGAACTGAGAAGTAAACTCAACCGCAGAGAGAAATCCAGTCTGTTTAATGTTGACTGTTTAATGCCATACTGAACTCACACCATGTTTTGTTCGGGTTCCTAGCACATGTCAGGGTGCAGTGTATGCTCCAATTACGTGGACCTGATCTGTCTCCTGATACCCCGAGGCAGCTTCAGGGTCCCCAAATCCATGCTGAGTCCCCCGTTCACCAAACACCTTTGAGCACGAGGCAGCTGGTGGCATCTCCCAGTGCCGAGGGTTCATCCGACTGGGCTTCTCACTGGACACATTTCAAGTTTTGGTTGCCTCACCGAGAAGCGAGCGTCAGGATTGCCACAGAAATTGTTCTCGAAGTGTCTGTCAGAGAGCAACACCAAGTCCAGTGACAGTCTCGTCAAGACAACTTTGTGAGCTGAGATCTTCTGCAGCAGCTCTGCTTCCGTCTGATTGGCTCTTCAGTAGTAGTTTTCACAAGAATCACCACCATAGCGTGTGCTAGTCGGAAGGCCCCAGACTGCTGTGGTAGCCTCAGAGAGGAGGCCATAACTAACCCAACCAGCTGTCTAGCTCTCAAACTGCTGGTTCCTGCACTGTGGAAATGCTAGACGACCCTACCTAGTGACAGCTCTCGTCACTGGCTCTTTTGTGAATTGTTTCACAGATTCCCAGTGACAGTTCCGGATGTCCGGAGAGAGCCTCAAGTAATTAGCTCTTATTAGCAGGTAATTAATCCCTGCAGGTAGTTTGTGCTCCCAGCAGTTTTATTTTTTTCAAAAGGGGCGTGGCAACAGAAAAATCACCGAGTGAGCCTGGGAACCGATGTTTCTGTGACTGATGTCACCACTTGAGAGATCACATCTCCAGAGGTCAAGAAGGAACTGAGGCCAGGAAAACCAGGCAGCTGCTGGGAGCTTTCCTAAGTGTAGAAGAGGATCGATCGCAACCTGATCTTTCTCTGCCCCGCCCGCAGGCTTATCCTCCACCACCTAACGCAAGGTGTTGGCGGTAGCTTTTAGTTCTCCCAGCACTGCCACGCTCTTCATGCCTGTGACTCCCTCTAGTCTGCCCCACAGCGTCCTCCTCCAGCTAAAGCAACTCTAAGGGATCACTGCTGTCCCCCACAAACCCCAAATACCCCCATCTGGACTTGGGTAGTATCACCTCTTCCCTCTTCCCCAACACTGGTTCCTGATACAGAGGGGGTGCTCAAGCCATATCTGCTAAATACTAATGCATAAATGACTGTATGTAAGTGAGCCAATGTGGTATGTTATAGAAACTACCAGCAACTATTTCAGATTACTTAGGGGCCACAGCTGGCTGGGTCTGACTTTTTAGTTTTGTGATATGTCACAACTTCCGTAAAATCTAGTCTTTATTTTTTAATAAAAATGATCACTGTGGTATTTTACGATGAAGGTCTAATAACCTGTTTGGTCCCCAGGACCCACATAAAGACGGAAGAAGAAAACCAATTCTACAAAGTCCACTGACATCCAGATGTGCTCTGTGCCATGTACAAACACACACACACAAATAATATCTAAAAAATTTTAATCATCACTTTGTACCATTCTGAATATCATTTTACTTTTGTTTCTTTTTTTGTAAAGAATTATAGAGAACATAATAGTTTTCAGAGGAGCTCAGCAGCTTATAATGTAGCATCTCTATGGTATGCACATCTGTTTCTCACGCAAAGATAGATAAATCTCCAGAAAAGATCTTAGTTAATGCCTCAAAGAAGGCTCTGTTGCCACTCAGGCTGGTTGGTGTCACCTGAGGAATGAATACAAAGCGTTCTCATTGGATTGCCCGTGCCCTCCTGTTGCACGGAGCTTCTTAGAGTGCCACAGAGTCTCTTAGAGAGCTCATCACATTTCACAAGGGCATTGAGAAGCTAGAGACAACCTGACTTCTTTGCAGACTGATCTCCTTGCCTTCATTCACCAAACCTGTCCCTGGGCCTACCAGAGGGCTGTGTGAAAACAGTCCGTGTGTGGCCACCACCCCTGCAGTGACAGTATCAGTTTAACTGTCTCCCTCACCTCCCCTCTGCTCTCCCATGTCCACTCCAGCCTCAGTGCACATGACCTTGTCAGACCTTCTCTTAGTGAGTCTGCCCCACAGTCTCCTGATGGGTGTCTTCCCCTCACACGTCCTTAATGCTCCTTAATGCATCCCGTGTCTCTAAGGGCTCTGGAAGGGACCTTAGGACCAGTGGGCGGAGTCGGGCACAGATACTCCCTCCAAGCACTGCAGTCCACAGGGGTCAGGTGACATTGGGAGGGGACAATAAAACGCTGTTTCTTGTCTTTCAGCTGACGTTTTACTATGGTAGGACAGATGGCTGGTGTCCAGTAAAGTACTATGAAGACATGAAGAAAGATTTTCCAGAAGGCGACATCCGACTCTGTGAGAAAGGAATATCCCATGCTTTTGTCCTTGGTTTCAGCCAGGAGGTGGCTGCCATAGTTGCTGATTGGATGAACCATAAACTGCCCAAAATATAAAAACTGGCCCTGGGAAAATGCACCTACAGCGGATACATGGGAGCTGTAGGTGTGTTCTGATTACTGGTGAATGTTTAATCTTAACGCTTAAAAAGGAAATATGAGACCCTGTTGCTTACAGACTACCAGCTCCCTGTGCTAAGACTAATGTGAACACAGTTGATGACTCATTCCACATGTTCCCTGACTCAGGATCTCCACAGTGATCTCCACAAAGATTCCTCTTTTTACAAGAAGCCTGACAGAGCTGTACAGTGCAGTTTACCCAACAGGATCCTGACAAGCCCAAGACAATCTAAATATAGGTGATTCCAAGTGAATCCTTACTTTAGAATAGATTGTCCTGGATGAAATTATGAAACACTGACTAGAAAATGAAAACCCACCCATGAGTGTGAAGTGTGCAGTCAGGTGTGTAAAATGTGTAAGACTGAGAAGGGCACCTTTGATCTTCCAGCTACAGGGAGGAATGAGCAGGGATGCTGACAGTGAGCTTGGTTTCCCTTCAGGGACGGGGGAAATTGAGTCAGACGTTGTACGGGTCTTGGCTGAGGTCATCAGCATGTCTTCCTGCTCCTGCTACAGTAAACCAAGAATCAAGGTTGCCCGACATTATCAACTAACTAGACAGAGTTGCTGAAGGATCCTGACTCTGACCTGCCACGGGATGGCCAGATGGCTCCAATGAGCCCTAAAATGCCAGGTCCCTGCAGGCTCCTCCTGAGCAAGAATGGAGGGATGGACTGTCCACATCAGGTGTGTATGGCCGTGGAGTGGCTCATCGCTGTGATTCCTCCAGTGAAGCTCCATGGACAGGAAGCTGTGAACTGATGCCTTTCATAATGCCGTTTGCTACCCTACAATTCTGCCCTTGTGAAAAATCTGGAGCATACTTTTTGGAAAGATATTTTAAATTGTTGAGTAAAACATTAGCATAAATGTATTTCCCATTTGCCTAAACTTTATTGACCAGAAAGATATTATTTTGCTAATAAACAGAAGTAATCCATTAAATTTTGAATTACTTCACCTCTGAAAATGTATTCTTGACTGAGAAGTAGAGGACCAGCTAGGCTGTCTTCCCTTAATTGACTCAATCCTAAGATCCCAGAGTCCAGAAAACCCCACTGTCTGTAGTGACAGCTGATGCCCAATTGGAAACATTCCATTTTCTTCTAGAGAAGAGCTCCCATAGCTCTATCATTCCTCAGGGGCAGTGAGATGGTCCTTCCTCTCACAAACCTAAGATGCTGATGGAAGATTTGGTTGTTATGTGCCGCCCGCCCGCTCAGTGGTGAGTGAAGAAAGTTCTAGTCCTTTGTATGGCTTCTGCATCTGAGCTCTAACTTCTCAGAAGGGGAAAAGCCAAACTCCAGACAAGGAGGGCTTTTAGACCATGGAGAAGACCGTTAGCTACACAGTAAGGGTTGGTGCTACACACAAGTCCTCACTGGCATCTGCACACTGAGGCCTTCTGGAGAGCTGACTGGGAAGCCAGGATTCATGCTCTGAGTACCTTGGTTAGAGGACAGGTCCAATCCGTGGTGGAAAATCAGTGAACAGAAACAAGTGCTGTTAAATCAGACCTACTGGAACAAAACCACATTCATTGATTGCTTCCAGAAATTACTACTGTGTCTTCCAAACTCTACTTAAAAGACCCTGGTGCCTCATTCCTGTTCCCCATCTAATCACCTAATAATAAATAAATATTTATTTATATTTAATATATAAAATATAATAAATATATGTTTATATTTATATAATATAAAACATTATAATAAATGTTTTACCTGCAGTTCCTACTGTGTCTGGTCTGATGTCTGTGTGCTGTGGGCAAGGATACAATGTGAGCAGTTGGCCTAAGCTAGACTCACTATTAAGGGGAAACAGTACTTTGTCATTGCACTTTAGAAAGAAGAAAGAATCCGGTTTCAGGAGACTGAATCCTTAAGAATTACAGAGGGGCTGTAAGATGGCCCAGTGGTTAAGAGCACTAGCTGCTCTTCCTAGGACCAGGGACTCACAGCCAATCCCAACCACCCACATGTCAGCTCATGACAGTCTGTCATGAAGAGGATCTGACACCCTCTTCTGGCCTCCCTGGGTACCAGCTGTGTACTTGGAGACCATCTTGAACTACATGGCAAGACCCTGTCTCCAACGTAGAAGGAGGAAGATGAGGAGGAGAGCACTGGAGATGAAAATTGGTCACTAGTGGGTGAGATCTGTTTCCCAGTGGTTCTGCCACGTGATGGCCACTGTGGTCTTCCTAGTGCCTCTTATAAAGCTGTCTGATGCTGTATGACAAGCATTACTGGGACCCTTGATCCAGACCCATGGTGACCCCTTGAGCCATGAAAGAAGCTCCAGAGGCAGCTCAAGTTAGCTCATGTCTGGGGCCTTTCCCTGTTCGCTGCACTCAACCACTGAAGCCTTGGACAGCTGGGCACATCCTCTGTTTTGATTTCCCTCATACTTACATTAAAGCTGTGACAATTCTGACTAAAGGAGCATGACAAACTAACACGACCCCTGACTCTGGATTGAATGTTTTCTATCATAAAACAAATTTGGGGAACAGTTTGTGTCTAAAGGTGGTAGTGTTAATTTTCTAACTTCAATCTTCATACTGTGAAAATGCCTGTGTTATACTGAGAACACAATGATGTATCTAGGAACTGAGAAGCATCATGCCAGTTTACTCACAGTTGGCGAACAAGAAAATACTTTCCTCTGTATCTACCAATATTTTGAAGCTTTGCAATATTTTCGGCATGTAGAAAATATTTTCAAACACAGCAAGCTCTCACCAGCATCTACCTTTCATTGTTTCTTCTCTAGACAGTGGATTTCTTCTAGACAGTAAAGGGAGAACTGAGTTTAAATCCCCGATCTTTTATTCATAGCATCATGATGCTATGTAAGATTTCATCCCTGCCTGAGCCTCCTAACTTCTAACCTGTGATGCTGGGATAATACTAATACTTGTCTGGTTGGGTTTTATTATTGTTCTTTGTTTCTTTGTTTGTTATGTTTGGGGGCACACAGGTGTTTTGTTTCCTTTGTTACAAAGCATTGAGGTCATGCACGTAACAGCCAACATCTTGTCTGCCTTGTGGCCGGCCTGCTCTAACAGGTACCGAAAGGGAGGAACTGGCAAACTCCTTCACTCCCACCAATGCAGGGGAGACACCTGTGCTGGTTCAGTCACCCCAGGTACTAAGGATACTCATGGTCTCCTAGCTCCTGGACCTTACCCCTGTGCGGGAGTGATGTACTGACCTAGCTCAGCTTTCTGGCTGTGGGCCATGCAGCTTCCATACACACACAGTCTAGGATGCTCTCACGGTGGGCTTAAAAAAGATGCAGGAAACAGCATTTCTTAGAAAAGGAGACATCTCTGTTCCTGGTCTCCCACTGGGCACAGGGGAGAGGCTATACTTGGGCTCCTCCGATTGGGGGTGGGGCTTAAGGCAAGGTCAAAGGTTAGAGCTAAGCAAGCTCTGTGAACAAATCCATCTCCAAGGATGTGAGCAAAGCTCTCCTGATGAGGACAGAAAGGCTCTTAAGTATGTCCTTGTTGCTTTCTCACAGGTTGTGACTCCTGTCTGTGCCCCATACAGATAGAGGTAAGTGATCACATTGGTCCAGACAGGGAACAGCTGTGGACCATTAGTGGGGTCTCTGCCACCTCCAGGCCAAGACTGGTATCAGTGAACATGATACCTGTTGAAGCTCCATGTGATGCCCTGGCAGCATGGCAAGGGTCATAGAGAACACGGTGTTGCTATAGTTCGGTGAAGAGGGGTTTCCTGGGGGAGAAGGGCAGGGGCTTCCTTTATTCATACAGAACAGGCAGAACTTGGGTCAGTTTGGCATAGAGAAGAACAGGTCCAGGTAAGGTATCCCCTAAGCTGTCCCTGTCTCACATACAGGCTTCTCAATCCTTGGAGGCTCTGACTTGCCCAGTGTTCAAGTAACCTGTGTGCAAAGTGACCTGCCTCACTCAAGATTTTATAGCTTCTGGGGCTAGAAAGATGTCTCAGTGGATAAGCGCTCAGACCACTCAGTGACCTGTGTTCAGTTTCTGGTACCCTTGTGGGTCTGCTCACCACCATCTACACCTCCTTCTCCAGGGAGATCTGGTGTCTCTGATCTCCATGGGAACCTGCGATCAGATGCGCACACACAAATACACATAATTAAAATACACTTTAAAAATATTTTCTAGCCAACAGGTTGTAGGAGCCGAGATCCTAGTTCAGGCCACTGCTCTGAAGAAATGGCTTTGTCAGCTCTTTCCACTACACCATGCTGCCTCCTGGAGGCCACAGTGGGCAAACCTAGCCAGAGTGGAAGGATGGGAAAGGGAATCACATAAAGGGCAATTGAGGAACCCTCCACCACCACCAGTCTCTCTCTCTCTCTCTCTCTCTCTCTCTCTCTCTCTCTCTCTCTCTCTCTCTCTCACACACACACACACACACACACAAGTAAGAAGAGGTAGTTAATCATAAGTGAGGCTTGTAAAAGACTGAAAGCTGTAACTGTCAGGTTTTCAGAGGCAAAAACTACACCAGACAGTATTTCTGGAGGAGAAATGCCCACATGCTGGTGTCTATGAAGGATGCACTCTGCCACGACTCCTCGCCACCTGGTGCTCTGTGCCGAACACAGTAACTCTTCTGCATGTGTGCCTGCTCTTAAGCCTTGAGAATCACTGTTTCCAGTTTCCATCATGCCCAGTCTCTGAGACTTGTCCCAAATACCAACTGCTTCTACCTCCTGAGCATGCATTTAACTCTCTTGCCAGCCCATCCAGGAGGGCTGGTCGTAAATCTGTTGGTTCTGTAAGCATCATTACTGCAAGGACAACAGCAGCTTTGCTGGCCAGCTCCTTCTAGCCCCTACTATCACCCCTCCTTGTCCTTTTAAAGGAGAGTTCTAGAAAGTGGGCTTGAGTTGTAATCATCTCTATGCTTGCCAGAGAATAGGACCTGACACTAGATTTCAGTATAAACCAGGTTGTCTAAATTAGTAAAATTTTTTTTTCCATATCTAACAAGCAAACTCACAGAATGCAGGTTCTTAGTGAGTCAGACTATCAGGAAGTCCCATTTGAGGACCTTTGCATTTCAAACTCGGCATGCCACTGAAAATGCTGGACAGAAACAGGTATACAATTCCCAAGCAGAGTAGATTCAAAGACAGTGGTGCAATTCCTGACACCAAGAAAATACAAAACGGGGCCACTACCCTTTGTTGCCCATCTTGCCTGATATGACTACAGTGACTACTTTTCTTCTGCTATCATTAGAAAACCTTTGAGGTTTAGGTATTGGCAACTACCAAATATGTGGCTTATTAGTCACTGAGCTCTAGCCCTGCAGAGTACCCCAAATGGAAATTACAGCATCAACACGCAAGACAATGGACAGGCCCAGTAGAGTATTCTCATTTTGTATTGCATTCCTCAAATATTCTGGTAAAGGGGCTTGTGCTGACCTCCCCACAGTAGGGTGGATTTCCTTCCTGGGTATGTCTATGGGAAAATTCCTCTTCTCTGGGATGGGAATGTGACCCCCTGACTGGGCGTCCATTAGAGCCATAGGGTGTGGGTGCACCTGCAAGGTCTCACTCCCTCACAGAGGGACTGGAATCCCACCTCTGCAAATCCACCCAGCTCAGGCTCTGCAGAACATCTGGGCTTCCTTGTACTGGCCATCACTGTACACCTGCATGTGATTAGGACTCGGCAGACACCCACAGCCTCACCGAAGTCAGCTCTGGTGACATATCCCTGTGGAAAAGCCTCTCCCCAGATCGCTGATCCTTCTGACCACATGAGTGCAGGTTCCAAGGATACGTGAGCTCCGCACATCTGTGACCACAGCAGTCCCCGTCCTCAGTGGAGCAGCAGCAAGGACACCTTCACCCCAGCCTGCTAGGAAATGAGCAACACCAAGGGCAGACTGTGCATAGCAGAGCCAGGAAGGGAACAGAAGTTTGGCCTCCGCAGTGTCAACCACGGAAGAGCCTTTTAGACCTGTTCACAACTGTGTTTGGGAAGCTGGATACAACTTCAAATCCCCTGACATTCTCCCCACAAATGCCCCTTCTCCTGTGAATGTGTAAGCCCTGCACAGCATCCTGGATAGCCATGTGGACAAGGAAAAACAGTGAAATTTTAACCTAGGAACGTGATGAACAGTGCATGACCAGACTTTACACCTTTCTATGGAAGGGTCATAGAGCTTCCACATTTATTGTACCTGCCAGAGTATTTAGCTGGAGATACATTTTCTCCTAAGAAAAGAAATTTTCATTCAGTAATGAAATTAAGAGCACAGAGAGAGTCTCGAGATGTGTCTTTGATAGGAGGGAAACGTGGCCACAGAGACTTTGATTAACATACTCCAGGAACACTGCATCCTCTGGGCAGGTGCTGCAATCTCGGACACAAAGTGGGTCACACTGCAGGGGCTTCATATCCCCTAAGGTCATATTGGTCACATAACAGCTGAAGTATCTCTCCAGCCCCTCTTATCTGATTCTTGTTTTTTGTTTGTTTTTTGTTTGTTTGTTTGTTTTCTTTTCCAATTTTTAAGACAGAGTTTCTCTGTGTCACCCTGACTGTCCTGGAACTTGCTCTGTAGACCAGGCTGTCCTTGAACTCACAGAGATCCACCTGCCTCAGCCTCCCCAGTGCTGGGATTAAAGGTGTGAACCACCACCGCCCAGCCTCTGCTTGTGAGAGGGAACCAGTGGAGGAAGAGCTG